TATCTCACCAACCACATTTGGTTATGCACATGCCTGTTTCCCCAACAAGACAAAGGGAGGCAAGCAACATTGGAAAGGGTATTGGAAGGATCATGTGCAGCTGAGGCGATGGTGCATTGCCTAGTTCTTAGGTACAACAGTCACACAGTCATCTTTGTGAAAGAGACACAGTGCAAAATCTGCACCACCTTACATAACAGCTCTGACTAGGCTGAAAGACAGGAAAAACAAATTAAACTACTGCTTCTCACATTGATCAACTCTGTGATTTCATGTAAGCCACTTAATATTTCTGGGTATAATACAACCCAGAAATGAGAGTGTGTATAGATACATAAATCATATGTACATACATATATATGCATATGAATATGCATATATGCATTATGCATTAATGATATAATATATATGAAAGCAATTCATGAGCTTGCTAGAGTATTATGCATTAATGATATATATGAAAGCAATTCATGAGCTTAATGTAGTACAAAATGTAAAGCTATTTTATTTTTTCTCTGTATCTCTATATGCTAGCACCTAAATCATTTTTCATGCATGTTACATACAATTAAATAGAAATATAAAATACACTTAATTTTAGTTTTTCATATATGTGCTATTAGCTAAAACATAAAAATGGAGAGTTACAGTCTTTATTAAGAAATCTACTGCCTAATAACATCTTCCTATTTTATTGTAATTCACTAAGACCAAACGAAAATAGTCTTACATTAGGAAAGTTTAAAATGCTCAACAGTACATTGTAAAAAGTAAAATACGTCAAAAATCACAAGAAAATACAATAATGCATAGCTGGAAGCTAAAAATAAAACAAGCGCACTAAGTGATAAACCAGCCCTTTAGATATTAATATAGATAAAGGAAGGCCATTGGAAGGAAGCACGTGGGTGCACAGCACAGCACAGCACAGCCCAGCCCATGGACCCTGGTTTCCAGCTTCGGTTCTGCCAACAACTAAGTGAATTCAGACAATGCTTGAATCTCCTTCCACCTGAGTACCTCAGTCTTAACAGTAAAACCTGATATTTGAAGAGAGCTTTATGATACAAATATACTTTCACATATTATCTCTTAGGAAACTAGTCTTCAAACTGTGTTCTGAGGAACCAAAAGGATTCTCTGCAACCACAAGGATCCCTTGCAGGAAGAAAAGATGAGGCAGGAATGAGCTCCAGGACCCCAGCTCCAATTCCACCAAAGCAAATCCATGTTAACTTATTTTATAGATTAATCTACTGCACAAGATGTCATTTGGAAAAGTGGTTCTGGGTCCAAAAAAAAAAACTATGGAATTTCCATCCAGGCTCTAGGAGTCTTATTTTTTAAAAAATAAAACCTATTGCTACGCAACCATTTGTAAGATGGTGGCTATATTCAAAACACTTTATAATTATTTTTAGAAATCTTTTCAGAATTTATCTTAAGTAATTTTTGCTGTCTTCTTTTCACCTTTTTGTATTGCTTAAATTTCTGCTTCTATGTATGAATTATTTTCAAAAATAAAAAAATTAAAACAATATTAGTTTGGGGGGAAAAATGAGGAATCTTTCTTAAGAAACTGACTAAATTCCCTTAGCCAAAAAATGGGATGACTGTATAATTTTTGTCCAAACCAGATACTTTTGATAGTGGCAAAGGATGCTATTAATTATTAATCTGAGACAATGAAAATAACCTGGATTGTCCAGGCAAAAAGTGACAAATAGTCCTTCTACTGATGAAAGATGTGAAAGTTACATCATGATGAAAACAACCTGTCAGGAACAGGCACGTGCCCTTCCTTGGACAGTGTGCCATCATGGTAACAGCTGAGAAATGGACAGTATCTATTTTCTCATCTACGATTTCAGTTTGGTTGGGATCCAGATACATGGGAGACGCAGAGGCAAACGCTCTGCTCTACCAGCCCCGTTTAGCATGAATGACTGAAAATTACAGTGAGAAAGTTAATTACAACAGTTTGGCTAATTGAAAGCTTTCTGAAACTAATGAGTCTTGCTTAATAGAAAGCCCTGATGCTCAACAGTCAAAACAGTCTCTGGCACTAAACAGAGTGGATGATCCTGTGATGCTTCTGAACAGAAAAAAGAAACAGTGACATGTTAACTCCACCTTAACACTGAAGAACAGTGAGGAATCAGGCTAAAGCCTTGTGTATCAGATAATCAGAGCCTAAAGAATACTTCATTCTTCTTCTATTTATTATATTTGAATATGGCACCACTTCTAGAAATTTATTATATGGTTTATGAATTTGTATAGCAAACAACAGGTGTTCTAGATAACATATGGCTTTTTCCAGGAAATGAGTAAATATTTCACGTTAAAGAGACAGAAACCACAGATCTTTAATACCTGGCAGAGATGTCACAGAGTTGGTAATGAAAATGCAGTGACAAGGCCTTGTTGTATAATAAAAGATTGGGCTGGCCTTTGTTCCTGGAAAAGTCCTGATAGAAAGGACTCTTATTCACATGGGCCCCTCATACCACTCACGCCAACCACTCATCACCAACCATGTGATGAGAAGGTTGAGGTTTTAAGTCACATGATATCAGCTGACCTGGGAGGGGAGCTGATGGAGATTTGAGTTCAGTCTTAAAGATCTTGGCTGAGCACAGTGGTTCATGCCTGTAATCCCAGCACTTTGGGAGGCTGAGGTGGGCGGATCACAAGGTCAAGAGATCTAGACCATCCTGGCCATCATGGTGAAACCCCATCTCTACTAAAAACACAAAAATTAGCGGGGTGTGGTGGCCCACACCTGTAGTCCCAGTCATTCAGGAGGCTGAGGCAGAAGAATCACTTGAACCCTGGAGGTGGAGGTTGCAGTGAGCAATGATCGTGCCACTGTGCTACAGCCTAGCGACAGAGCGAGGCTCTGTTTCAAAACAAATAAAAAGATCTGAGTCCTGTCCTATGGCCAATGATGTGATTAAGTATGCCTATGTAATAAAACCCCAATAAAAACCCAGGACACCACGGCTCAAGTGAATGTCCAGGTTGGTAATATACATGATATACCTGGAAAGTAGCACATTCTGAGGACAGGGAAGGTTTGCATTTGGGACCCTCCCAAACCTTGCCCTCTGTATCTTTTCTTTTGACTGATACTTCTTTGTATCTTTGTAAGAAAGCTGTAATAATAATCACAGCACTTCCCTGAGTTCTGTAAGTCATTCTAGTGAATTACGGAAACTGAGAGGGCTGAGGGAATGGTCTAACGTATAGCCACCTGGGTCAGAGGTATGGGTCTCCTGAGAACCCCAAGCTCGTGGCTGGTGACTGAGTGAGGGCAGTCTTGTGGGACCTGGCCCTTAACTTCTGAAATCTGCGTTACCTCTGCCGTAGTTACTGTCAGAATTACATTGTAGGCCTAAAGAGTTAATACAGTCTCATGAAGTGTGGATCATTAGAAAATCACCCCACATAATGAAAAAATATCACTCTCTGATCTGATTTTTTAAAAACCTTTACCCTCAAATAACGTTATAATTATAACCTTTAAAGAGAATGTCCTCCTAAGGTAAAACTAACGAAAGCTCTTTAATTGTAAAGCGGTATTAAAGGAACACATATAATGTTAGCATCTTGCCAACCTAGGGTAATTTAATGTGTCATTTCCCAAACACAAAAATGCCACTGCTGAGTCACTGCAATTTGGGGTTGACCCCCATCCAGATCTGCCCACCCAGACACTATATGAATGGCATTTATTTGACAGAAGGACAGCCCATACTGAAAATCTCGTCTCCTCCAGAAGAGTATAATGAAGTCGACGGTCTTATTTAGAAGTTTAATCAATGGCCTTAGTGTATTGGCACTCCACTGTCACCAATTAAATTAAGTGATAAAATGTCGTGATTTAACCATGCCTTCAACAAGTTTCATTGCTCTGATATTTTCATTCCAACAACTAAAGAACAACAAAGTTCATTGAAAGCAAAGTTCTTTGGATTTGTGTTCCCCTAAACATTTCCCTTCCATTTGCAATTTATGACATGTATCTGGTAATATATCAATGTCCTAATAAAAATATGAGAGATCATTTGCAAATCACTGAAGCATGTACTGACATTTAGGATTTCCTACTCAGTTTCAATAAAGTCTTGTACAATTTAGGACCAGGAGAAAAAGAACCATTTAAGCCACTGCAAACCTAGGTCATTCCTGGTGGTTTCATTGGGAAAAAAAATAAACAATGCAAACTTGAGGGGTTTTTCTCTCTCTCACACTTCTGTGACACATAGAGTAAAATATTTCGTATCTAAGGGTCTAAGATTTTATACCTTGTTGCAACTGAGGATGGGAGCCAGGGTGGAATGTTAAGTCATGGAACAACAAGATTAAAGTGGCATTTTAGGAAATGGGGATTGGAAGGTATAATAGCTAGACTGAAAGAGAATTCAACTTGAACCAATCATAGCTGCGGATTCTTCCATGCCAATACCCTGCTATGCAATCATGCAGAAGTGGATTACCTAAAGGTAAACAAGGAGCATGAAGATAAGGAAACAGATGTGAAATGCATTTCTTTTGGTACTGTAACAGCCTTTGAGACCTGAGCAAGATGGATGCATTAAAGATGATTGCAAAGTGCCTAGCCTCAACGAGTATTAGGAACACCTTCAGGCAAGCAGACTCTAGGGAGAGGAAGTAGGTTTAGGTGGGGAATAAATGATTTTCTTTCAGTTTTGGATTGTGCACATTCACAATATTTTCTACATAGATATTTTAAACCGCATTGAGGCCTATAGCACCTTATATAACCTTTTAATGCTTCCATAATTTAAGATGTTATAATCTAACTAAGGAAACTATTGCAGTTGAATAACCGAAAGAATGAAAAACGTAAGTGGGTGATTTATCATGGCTATGAAAGTTCAGATGAATTTCAGATGAAGCAGAATAGTAGAGATTTGGGCCTCCAAAGTTTGTCACAAACTTGGGCTTACTGAGCCATACCAAAGAGCCAGTACCTGGAACATCAGTGGGGTGGTTGCAGAGGAAAAATTCAGACTCTTGATCATGTGACATTCAGGATCATATCTGGACATAAATCCTTTAATTATGACTGTTTTGGCTGTTCCTTGTTCACCAATTAATAGTACAGCCTAAAATAGTGGGAATTGAAAAAGAAAAAACAAGAAATGAAATAAATGAGTGTGATGGGCTGAATTTGTCCCCCCAAAATTCACATGCTGAATCCTCAACCCCCAGTATCTTAAAATGTGATTCTATTTGGAAATAAGGTCTTTAAAGAGGTGACTAAGGTAAAATAAAGCTGTTGGAGTGAGCCCTAGCCCACTCTAATTGGTGTCCTTATAAAAAGAGGAAATTTGTGGCCAGGCATGGTGGCTCACACCTGTAATCCCAGCACTTTGGGAGGCTGAGGCAGGCAGATCATCTGAGGTCAGAAGTTCGAGACCAGCCTGGCCAACATGGTGAAATCCCGTCTGTACTAAAAATACACAAATTAGCCAGGTATGGTGGTGGGCACCTATAATCCCAGCTACTCGGGAGGCTGAGGCAGGAGAATCACTTTAACCCA